AGTTCTGGTGTGGCTTGACAAATTTCCATAAAGATCCGAAGGAATCGTGACCAACATTTCGACAGGTCTCTAATTATTCCACGCTACAGTCAGATCGTGACCCCACAGACCCATCTTGTATTGCAAACTTTTCGACGTATTGCCTCGTACTATGCAGACCCTTTTAACAAGAGCGACGCGCCCAATTGTCCGAGCTTGAATTTGTAGCGAATGATCTACGTTATTGCTTAACATTTCGGATCCACTCCTTCCAAGGGGGTTTTCTGGAAGATGGGGGGGATCACCATGAACTAAGTCTTACCCTTTATCCTTACGACAACACAACACGAGGTTATTCACGATCAAGTGCTCCTACAGCATTATCATTAAATACAACATCAAACAAATCCTGTATCTAAATGGACGATTGATTGACTAAATGATTACGGTATCATTTTAAATAATCCATCATGTCATGGATTTTACTGTAAGACAGGAGTCAATTGGAGCAACTCCTATAAGCTCTCATTTTCGTGCATATCCGAGATCGCGAAAAAGGCAAGACAGAATTCATTTTCCATCATCTAATCGAACACGACGATGCTGTGGATCAAACCTAAGCACCTTATCTATCTATGTTGGTAATCTCCACTTTGTGCATAGGTAATTCGAAAGAAGTTGGGTATGGCCGTAATTCATTTGTTCTCATTCCAACGTAGGAAATCAGGCATACTCAGCCTCTGTATCCCTGAAAGGTTGCATCCTTCGTTACATACCTACTAAGCCTACGATGGCACAGCGGACTAGAAGCCCTGAAGGCTCCTCTCCAACTAGGGCGGAGTAGGTCCTGTTTGTCGGATGTGTTAAATTTAATTATTTGGTTTCACGTCATCTAATTGCTTGTTATCCATGAGATTGCAACACAACGGCTGTTTTCAAGACCATAAAACTCCTCCCTCCCCAACCAATATCTTCCTACAAGCGCGTTTGACGATTCAACTAAAAAATCGTCCAACACTGAAATTCGATAAGTTATCGAAGATTTATATTTGAGGAGAACAAAAATGTCAACTTCTTTTGATGGTCCATATCCACCGAATCCACAACAAAGATCATCATCCCGTTGGCCACCTACACCAGGAGTTTACGTCAACGTCGAGTTTAGAGTCTCCATGTCTGAGAACGATAAGGGGCATGGGGCATCATTGAGGTACGCATCAAGGAACATGAGGGAAAGGGAAAGAGCAAGAGCAAATACACATTTGGGTGGCAAACCAATACCATCGATATTGACTCCTGGCCATCTTCAACCTAATGATCCATCTCAATATCAGCAAAAACCACAGCAACAGCGAGATTTAAATCGGGGGTTGAGCATTGGTATGGAAATACCAGGGAGGGGAAAATCTGCACCACCGACGATGAACGATAGAACTCAACCAATTAGTCCAGTCAGTCCCGTTAGCCCCATGAGTGCTGTTGGCAGTCCAATACAACATCGGATAGTGAATTTGCCTCGGCAAAACATTATGGATCGATTAGACAGACCTTTGCCATCAACACCAGGACGATTTCGTCTCGGCGAAGATGACTTACCATGGTCAACACCCCCTTCGTATTGGAATGCCGAACCTGATACATCAGAAAGTGTCGGTCCTACACTAACTAGTATCGAGACCTTTCGGCCATATCAACCATCTCCAAATACTGCTAGACGAACCGAAGATCCTAAAAGAGTTCGAGAGTTGTCGGAACTTCAACAGGCTATGATGACGGTGGATAGTATTGACAATGATGTATGGGATCCGTGGATGTGGGACAGTGTAGGAGATATGCCTAGAGGGCCAAGAAGTATTGGCTGGGCAGTAAGTTCGAACGATGCATCTGGCTCGCCGGCCTCGCCGTCGCTGAAGACTCCTCCTCCTCCGCCTTACGTTGTTAGTCAGTGGGAAAATGCTTGTCAGAAGAGAATTACGACTACGAGACCTAGGAGTACGGGCTGAGGATTGAAATTGAAGTCCGTAGGGAATTGCTTGAATATGATCTATGGGACAGACAGAAAGACTCAGGAACCTTTCAGGGCGCGAGCACTATCAATCTTTTACAGCGGTATTACAGGAATCTAAAGGGAATTGCCCAAAATTCTATGGAAGACTTGCTTTGTATAGCAATTGTGAAGACATGGATACACCCGGCACAAACAAATTCCACACAAAAGCTACATATCAGAAAAACACATGGGTGAACATGCAATGAACCTCAGGTTCAAATTCATCTGCCATTCGTTGGAAGCATTTCGGGTCCGAGATTGCCACTCGCAGTCACTGTCGTTACAAAAAGCGGTCCGAAAACCTTCTAGTCTATTCGATTTTGCTCCACCCGCATACATGAATTCGTTTCCAATATAAAATTTGAATCATATCAAAAAATAGCGGAGCACAATTGGGCTTCAAACAAACTCTTCATTGGAACAAGGCGAAAATATCGGATTAACGGAACAAAGACAGGGAGTACAAAAACTACGAATAACCGGGGTAAAAGCGGATACCCTCGCATAAGCTAGTACATTTACGGGACATATTTGACGTCAAATATCAAGCTTGACTGAACTTGGAGGTTCAGGGAAGAGCTTTGATCAGAGGGAAGATCTTGCACGGGAATGGAATGCAGCTAGAATGTAGCTAGAATTAGGTAGCCAAATTCTTTTGAATTGATACTTTGAAACACAATTTTTGCAAGGGATGTGAGACTCTTGAGCCGAAGGAAATGGTGAAACTTATTGTAGCAATGAATGTCCCATGATTATGGCTGTGTAAATTCTGTTTTCCCTCTTTTTTCCCCTTCAGCAGACCTGGAGTACCCTTCAAACGCAAGGTTCCTTCGCAGGGAAATGGAGTTCTAGTGTCCTTCGTCTCGTTTGACTTAGGAAAAAGGACCTAGGTACATCGCCGTAAAACATCGGGCAACTTCCCTGTCCCTGTCTGTCAAAGGAGATCGCAGGCATACATTCTCGGTCTTTTTTGTTTGGTTGCGGAGATCCTGCACGGAGGTGCCGAAGCTCGTTCGCTTTTATGTAGGTGCCTGGAATTGACGGCTATGTATACTATCCGAGCCATCTTCCGAAGAGATGTCTATTGACTTGGTATTTCGGATGGATGGACGGAAGAGTGAAACTGGAGTGATATGAATTATATGCAGAGCCACTTTCGCACCTTACAGTTAATGTACCCTCATGAGTATGTGGAGATTGATATTGACGCCACCAAGGCGATAACTGAAGAAGTAAGTGATAGCGCGTTTCATTTGTTGCGGCATTGAAGGACATTGTTCGAAGATGCGCACATATATATTTCCGATGGTAAGGCATCTCAAATTATCCTTGTTCGTCGATGATTGCCGACTCTCCTCATTACCCTTAATAGGAATCTAGCACAAGGTCAAACTGACACTCTTTAAATAATGATGATTCGGATTGTGTAAGAGAACACTTTTATGCAGGCAGGCATGCATGTGATAGCCTGAACTTTATGGTCTGATTGGGAATCCATTGGTGACCAAGACTACTGGGAGAGTCACCGGTAGTCAGTTCAGTTCTTGGAACTTAACTGCAGAGACATGGAAGAAATAAATAATGAAGAATGGAAATCAAAATCTGTATCCGAGGTACGATACTTTCTTGTCATGTAAGTAAATATCGCAATTACATTTCGAATAGTATCAAGATGGCTGTAGAGGCAATGATAGGCACGTTCATGACTTCTCATTTTCATATGCAGGAGATGCCCCAATTCAAAAAACTTTGGTTAAATGGGACTGATAAACTCCGCTCATGACTTGCAGATTCTGTCTTCTCTTTCATAAAAATAGGGCGAGCGTCAAAAAGTTTTACCAGACTCGCCAGGTGCTCGTTACATTGAGAGGCTAATGATGTATCGACCTATCACTCTCTGAGAGTGACACAGATTTACATGATGCAGGGGCTATTTTTCATCAATACTGTCTCCCTACTTGTTTATCCCACAAAATACACAACTCCGATACGTGAAAGACTCTCCATCGCTTAGGCACCACACCCGTTGTGATAAGAGTGTCTACGCGACGCCGACATCGAAATGCAACCATCCGAAACAATACAAAGATATTAGACGAACGATCACAGAACCCCTCCATCCCAGCCCTTGCTAGCTCTCGGAATTCTTACCCCGTACTATCAGTCAAACTGGGCGGAAGATTGCATGCCCAATGTTTGATTGGAGGATCACTTCCGAGGCGGGAGGTGGATCTGTGGGGTTGACTGCGAGGCGTATTTTGAGTTTTCTCGGTCGGATGTACATTTCGTTTGATATTTTCGATTTCTTTTCAAAGAATGTACAATTGAAGTTACTGTTCAAAGTTGTTATTTGTACCATCTTTCAAAGTTCGCATTTGCCGTTGCATCTGCACTTGCATGTGACCTCGTTCCTTTGGTTGCTAAATTCGGCTTTGTTTGGTTGCGATATAGACGTGGCTATGAAATCGTTCATTGGCTTCGGGCCTTAAATCTTCTCATTCTACCGAATAGTTGGCTTAGAGTTTTCGGTCGCAAGTGTTTCGACGTGCCTCGCTACGGATGAAGATCTGTGGATCGCGCCTGCTGTTTGTGCTTGCTCTTATCTACTCACTCGATTTTCATCTCAAAGTGGTCGATCTAAGAGTTAAAAGTATCTACTGACTAGTTTACTCGGGCTCTTCAAAGAAAACATCAATCTAGAGAAAAAATTGATGTCAAGTTGAGATCTGTAATATATTAGGAGCCTGTGGTATTTGATCATGGCAAAGATTCGTTCGGTGTAATTGGTCTTCATTGATGACATGGCTGATCAAAAAACTGAGGCTGAGTTGCAAGAATTTCCCCGCTCAACAATTTCTAATATTGTTTAATCTAAGATTTAACTTCTCAAGTAATAACTTCTCTCAATTCTGAATGATTGACGACATAGAAAAGTGGGATCAATCCGTTCTACTGAGCGCAAACATTAATCATGTCCGGGGCAGCGGAAGGTTTGGCTGGGCTTGCTCTAAGTGCAATAAACGTTGTAGCCTTGTTCACGACGTGCATTGAGTGTTTTGACATTGTTATTGCTGGAAAGAACTTCGGTGAAGATTTTGAGCAGTTGTGTGCTTTGGTATAACTCAACATTCTCAAAAGACCCCTACTTTTACTAACATGCATAGTTCTCATTGGAGCGTGCTCGATCTGTGCTCTGGGGCGAGTCTGTGGGATCAATTCCTGAACCAAATACTGGCCTTCGTTTGAAGTATGGTAAGAACATCAACAGACCTAACATTCGGCCACGAGTAGAGAGAGTTCTCATAACATCAAGTCGCTGCTCGAAGAAGGCTCTAAGATCAACAAAAAGTAAGGAGATACATCATCAACTCCCCAATTGACGTCGCAAGGTATGCAAATCTTCAAGACTTCATTCGATCGATTCAAATCTCGAATAAGAAGACATCAAAAAGATACGTCTACTTAAAAGGTAACTTCCTAAACCGTACATAATACGCGAAAGTTTAAAAGCTTAATTGAACGACTAAATAGATATTTTAATAGGCTTAAACGTATCACTGCGTCTCTCAAGCTTCTCAGAGATCAAAACTATAAGCTAAGATAAGAAATTGATAGCATATCAGACGTGAAAAGTATGCGATTGCTCCGAGGTGTTACTTCAAGCCATAAAGATTCTGCCACTCTAGATGTTTCAGAAACTGCAAGTAGCCGTATGTTCAAAATTGAGGAAAATGGGTATATCACCAGAGTTATCACAAAATCTTCGTCTACGTATGGCTCGAGTTTATCATTCAAAACTGCGTTGTCAAAGCCATCGCAAGATATTGACAGTCTGGCTTCCTCGACTCCGCAGCCACCTGAAGCTTGGCCACGATTGCTGCAATCCCCCAACAAGAACACGAAAAAAATGGCACTTCTCAATTCTGCCATAGCTTGTGAACAATGTTCTTACGATGAAAAGAAATGTGTGACGAAAACTGAAGTATTTCAATGTTATAGTTGTATCCAGACTGGGAAGAATTGTAGCTTCTCAAGACGATCCGCTGAAATGACGCATACAACTTCAACGTCAACTTCTCATGAAACAGCATATTTGGATAATAATCTAACCAACGAATCATCTACAAACCAAGTGTCACAGAACCGCCGTCTTATGCAAGGACTTGTTGCGGTCACTGGGTACCGCCGGCATCTGAGCTTCTCCGACGGCGATAAACACTTTGGAAATCGACTTACTGCTAATAAGAACCAGGATCTAGAATACTGGGTTCACAATTCTGGAAAGCTGGTTCCGACTGCCAATACTGGTACTGCAGCTTTGCTGCGAATTTTTCTTGAGCTTCGCGATATTCGGGAGACTAATGTACCATTTATCAGCGCTATTACTGTCAATGGCTGCCTGAATACTATACTGGCCAGTATAGAGGGGCCCCCCGAGAAGCCCTTTGAAGGAGGAATATTTTGGATTACTATAAGAATAACTGATCGATATCCTGGTCAACTGCCACTCATGAGATTCACAACTAAAATTTACCATCCAAATGTATCCCCACAAGGATATGTCCGCTACGCAGATGGTCAGCTTCAAAAATATTCAAAACCTTTGAATAACTCCGACAAGTGGTTCTTGGGAAGTGATAGAAAACTCAACTGGTCACTTGGAGCACTACTCACCGCACTATGCGGTCTTTTATCTTCTCCAGACGTAGATAATCCTTTAGTGCCAGAGATTGCGCAAACTAATCTTGAAGATTATGATGAATATTGTTGCAATGCTCGACTATATACTAAAATGTACGCTATTGATGAGAGGCCAGACGAATCACATCTTCTTTTTCCAGATGATTTCTCCGAAGAAATTAATGTCGTGGACTTCTCTCATGATGATTGCAAAGAAGAAGAGCCCGAAGATGACTTCCTAAGCTTACAGAGCTCTCTTAGAGAGGAACAAGATATCAAACTTACAGGATAGCACTTTCCGGAGGAGAAATATTACGCATATTACAAGAAACAAATTCCGTAATCACAGTCAATGATAAAGTTAGTTAGTCATATAGCCGCATGAGTCCTATCTTACATTAATCAGATTACATTAATCTACGAGTGATTTACAAGATGGTTTTGGTTTCTTGGGAATTTTATCATTCTTTGAGGGATTGTCTTAAATTTCTCAATGCTGGAAGTTTCTCGAAAAGCTTTCGAATCCGATCAATGATCAAGGTCTACTGAAAAAATACATAGTAGAGTCCATCGAGTAATGTGGAGAAAGTCCGGGAACTACTAGCGTAAGGGGCGCGTGATGCTGCCTCTGATTGCCGTACATGCCACGCTCGCTGATACAGTGTCGTCATTACTCTTACAGGCTATAAAGCCATCATAGAAATGGGTTGATCATCTATACTCCTCTGCTATAGCTGGGAAGGGGCTTAATATTGAACAGCACCAGAAAACGATGCGGGACACTGGCAAAATCTACGGATTACACAACCTCTTATTTCTGGTTTAATCCTTTGTAAAATAAAGATACTTATTGGAAAGTTTTCTTTCGGTTTTGAATGTATGAATATTAGCAGATCTGAAACCTGGTCACTTTCGGTTTGCCCAAATCCAGCGTCTCTCCCTGCATCATGCCATGAAGGTAGGAATCGCCGATCATTTCATAATAGGTTTTATGATCCCGAAGAACAAAGGGAGTCCATCCGCCTCCAAGAATACAAACTTGATCTCCAACTTTAGCACCCGAAGCTCCAAATCCCATATAACCTCGTGAGGTGGTGAAAAATACTCTTCCTGATACCGTATTAACAAGCTCTAAGAGGAAAAGCATACTTTGTCCTTCTTGCACACTTTGACAGATATTTTGGGAGATTTTGTCATTCTTGAGCTTCTGTAGGATATCTGGATCCAGAGCCAGTTCATGGCTCGAGTTATGTCGATCAAACACAATTCCACGCTCCCGTAGTAAGATTGTATTGAGTACAGCCTGGAAGTGGCGGATGAATCGGGGCTTGGCAGGCTCGAAGTTTGCAGTGTTGCCGATCAACGTGCGCCACAAAGCTTCGAGGACTGATTCTTTGTTCTTGTAGATGGAGCAGCCGAGATAATTGATCATATAGCGGAATGCGGATCCGGGCTCCCCACAATCAACGTTAGCTAAATCCGCAAGCTTAGACAAGTGGATAATAATTCGTTTGATGTCTGGTAAAGGTGTTTCGCTTGACATGGTGCTTGTAGCAAAGTCAATGGAATCTAAAATGAGTCCATCGACATACATAGAACTGCCATCGAAGGAAATATTTCCAGGCAGAATATCACGAACTTTATAATGCGTAATCAAGAAGGCGGCAGGTGCTCCTTCCATTCTTACTGACCAATCAGGTACCCAGGATGGTAATTTCTGAACAATCTTTGATGTCAAGGGTTGTGCATAGCAGATTTCCAGGTCTTGTTGACTAAGAATGATATATGCAGCGGCATCTCGGTATACTTGTTGTACACTCTTGGTGTAGTCCACTCGAAGCATATTCTTTGCCAGATGCGGTAATATCTCTTCCGTATTGCACCTCAATCCGAGTAATCCAAACACTTTATCTCGTGGATCTGAACACTTTGAAGCTTGGACGAATCTTAGATAATCAGAAAGATAATCTGTCTCCTTTTGCTTGAACATTGATTGAATACCAGCGATAGATGCAATTATGCCTATACGTTCCGTGTCGGGCGCCCGATGAAGCAGAGATGTCGTAGTGCTGATAAATGAGACACCCCAGTGGAATAGCTTCCAGTTCATCTGCTGAGCACCACAAATAACAGTGGAACGGGTTGACACAGCAATTTCTTGTATGATCCAAGTCCGCTCGAAATACGTCGATGAAAAGAGAGTGAAAAGTGAGGTCCATAAGGAATCGTCTTGAAGTGCTAAAGATGATTTCTCAGCAGTACTAGGCTCTGTGCGAAGCGGCGGTCTTTTGTCTCCAGCTTGTAATCGGGTAACCTCTCTTGCTTGCCATAATTTTGCGAACTTTGAAAGTGCCTCAAATGCTTGCTTCGAGTAAGCAAGCTCATCCCCTATCCAGATGAGGACCCTATCTGCGAGAGCGTATATGTCACGCATCATGGTAACCTGTTGATTGCGCTCTGGTATATTTTCCTGGTCGATGCAAATGGCGTCAATCCACATCCATCGCGAATCATCTGCCCACCGCAAACGCTCCAAAGCAGCTGCCAAATTTGCCTTGACTCGAAGCTCTTGTCCGTCACATAGGACGGGCTTATCGCACATTTGGGTTCCCCATTCGTAAGATAATGCCTCGTACTTGGGTGCATTTCGCAGTCTTGTTTGGTGAAGACTGAGCTGGATCAATTCTTTCTCATCGTTTCTTGGGCCTATCTTGACCAGTCTGATAAAGTTCGAGGAGGGCAACGGAGCATGCTGGTGCGATAACATGGCGTGAGCAAGAAAGACTGATTACATGGAAAAGAAAAGTTTTAGAGGAGTGCACTGCACTTCCTTTTCTTCCTGTGAACACAACCCCCATGTCTTCAGCCTAGTAAGTAAGACCACTACGAATGTGCCGTAATAGCGGCAATCAATGTTACTGTGGCTTAGATATTTAAGGAAAAAACCTTGAGCTTTCGGTGAGAGAAAACAGTTAGAGCACTTAATGTCCAATCGTTACTGATCAGACCACTCGGTGAGCGATCTGGACCTCTTCTTCTTGATCGCGACAGCCAGATTTTCTTCGAATTCAATTTCGGAGTACTCGATAAAGGGATTCAGAAGAAAGAATACAAACCCAAATTTTGAAGGTAGTTGGGGAAGAGAGTTAGAAAGACCAGGAATAACGCTGTCAGATTTCGTCACAAAAGCGGGGTATCCGCGCCCCCCCTCCAAGCGAGAGCAAAGAATGGCTGATGTTGAATTTGACTGTTTTCCCCGGCTTTTGCTTCCATTTGAGAGGTTACAGTGCGATTCAGAGTGTATCAGGAAAATACCGCACTCAACCACACGCCCAGCAGCCACGCCTGTCACACCCTCTGCAAGAAGGCGTGGCAGCGACGACTCGGCTTTCATAACAGTCGGGATGTAGATTATGCAGGAGTGGTAAAATGACTTAAGTAACACAAGAATACAGAAAGCCAATGTTACTCACAAATTTAAAATCAATTAAGCCCAAGGTACCGACTGTTTGCCTCGTCATGGAGTCCGTCTCTCGTTGTTATGTTGCTTTTGAAACATTTCGAAGCTATAACGTCAGTTTCCGAGTCGAAAATGCACCACGTCTAGATTGGGATGCGTTCTTCAAGTATTTTTAGTCTCTTCCTCAAATACTATCCCAAAATTTGAAGACATCCTGTCTTTGTAAATATGCACTCCGTGAATTTCCTAGAACGATGGACAGGACTTTACTGGTGGCGGTAAATCTTAACGCAAGTTGGCATTTATGAAGACGATGCTTCATTTGAATTGATCGTGCCGCAGCGCGGAATGCTTGTAGAAATGTCTGTCCAATCACAAGCCTTAAGCGACGTGGCTTTTCAGAACTACCCGCCCACTTCAAAATCCCACTCGACCACTCTCAGCTTCTGATGTTTGCGACGTGCATTACACGTATATGACGCATATATTATACTAGCAGTTATATTTTCTTATCGCTTGATTACGAATAGCGTGAAAAGCACCAACCTGCTCAAGATACATTGAGCTCAACTCTCAATAATACCTTCCTCGAATACTGTACCACTTTTACAATTTTCGCTCCAATCCGGTCATTCCTTGGATAGAAGCAAGAGCTACCATCGAGTCCTCCACCTGTCATTATTACGTGTGTCAGGATACCCGTTGGTGGCACTCCGGCTCGCCTCATCTCACTTACCGCGATAAGCGCCTCCGGGGCCAGGGATGAATTTATTTTTCACAAACCTTACCATCGTCACTATTGGAATACAGACCGAGCCTGGAAATATCGTGACTTACATAGAATTGATCTTCTGCACGATCATCATGTCCCGCAACTGCATATTCTTCAGTTAAAGCATCATCTCCAGCCACTACTTCGTGCCCCATATTAGTTTAATCGTCAGCGAAGATTTCATATTCAGCAACGATGTGTTCTCAATCAGGAATAGTTCATGCTACTCCAGCATCATTCATCTTGTACAAGAGCCTATTACATGACCCTTTTTTTCTCTCACCAAAAACGATTTCCCAAAGAATTCGAGTCTTCCCGCCTGGATCTGTAATATCAGCGATTCAAAAAATGGCTTTGGCAAAGAAGATCATGGAGATGTCTTTTTGATTGAACTGCCTTCGTAGAACTATGAAAAAGACGGTTGGACTTCCTATAAAGATTTAGCTGCTGATTTTCTAGATTTTTCTCTGAGAGGCCATTGCTGGGTAGATGGAAGGTCAGAAACAAACCTACAGAAGTAGCAGTGCTATCAATTAGCGCCATAGCAAGCAATACAGTTACATGACCGAAAGCCTCCTCGAGGCTGCATTGGCACAAATCGAGTGATGTGAGAGACTCGTTCTATCGAACTACTGTACAAAGATATTTATATCTAGCTAGGTGGCCAGAAAAAGTAAGTTTCCATAGCGCTAACAACACTTCATATTCCATAGCGTGAAATCTAGAAGCAACTTTCAAACCCGCACCTTCAGTAACAAGAAAGCACATGGTTTGTACGTAGAAACTGGTCAAGTTTTCACAAAGCACATTCAACGACCTTAGCAATCATTGCCGACGAAGTGTCTACAATGCCTCTCAAGCTCAACTTGGAAGATATTCATGATGGTCCAAACTCTATTCCTGGTTAACTCAAGAAATTTACATCTACTATTGCCATGCCAGGCAATCAATAAAATACTGAGCTATAGTGGAGACACCTCCAGGACAATCTCACTGAAACAAAAAGTAGAGATGGTACTGGATCCATGATTAGGAGGAAAACGCCCTCTACAAAAACCAGTTCAAGGTATGATCAACCGTAAACTCCCGCTTTTTCACATTATTGGAGACATCACCAAAGATCTTAAATCAAATTGAAATGTTCTCCTCCTTCTTTTGGCCATTAACATTATATTCATAGCTCTTATCAGAAATGTTCCATCATGATGTCCATCATCTACGATACAACAAGTGTGAAATTCACCAGGGGAAAATTACTTCAACTGTCATGCAGTGCCTGTTCTATGTCCCTCCTTCACTTCTGTCTGCTTCTCCACTTGGTTATTCGCACCTCCTTGCCCTACGCTTTCCACACCACCCTGTTCCCAGAATTCTCTATGCAAATTCCTCCCCTTACACATCCCATAAATATCAAACGGATCAATAAAAGTAATCCACCATCTTCTCTCATCCTGATACCCCGTACCCTCAATCTCCGTCACCCCATCTTTCCCCAAATATATCTTATTATTCTTTGGCAAAAATCTCATCGGGTGTCTCCAATTCAACAAAAATGTATTACAAGTCATAAGCGAAGCTTCAAACACCCAGAAAAACCATTCATACCGAATAATCGGACTAATATCACCAACTTCCATCCCGGGCTCGGGATGCAAATCTGCGACACTGAAATATTCAACCGTGCGATATATTGTTCTCGTCCCAACCAAAGCACTTGATATATAAAGTGTGATTAACACATTATTCAAATTTCTCGGCAAAAGCGAATGTTCGCGACATTTCAAGTGGAAGTAAGCAGCGAGGAGGACAAATGCTCCCAGAATACCAAGTTGGAGACATAAAGCGGCCTTGAGAAGAGATCGACCGGTTTCTTGCGCATCTTCGGAAAGAGATGAGTTGGCGAGGCGGGCAGCGCCGTTAGCGTTGAGAGCTTCGACTACGGCAGATATGGCACCGAAAGTGGTAAGAACGCGGCCGGGATGAAGAGGAGAGTGGTAAGGGACGTAGTAGAGGATGCGGGAGAGAATGAAGTAGTTTACTAGCTCGTAGATGGGTCTGTATTTTGATTTGCATTTAGTGCGGATTCGGGTATGTTTTGGTAGGTAGCGAGAGTAGAGTAGAGGAGGAGACGAAGCGGAAACAGGGGTAGAACTTACGGTGCAGCGTAAAGAAGAACTATACTCGCGATATATATATTAAGATTGCTATACTGGAAAGCACCGATTTCTCTGAGGATAAAACCGGCAAGGTATATACATCCGCACCATGGGAGTAGTCCGGTTACTTTCCAGCATTTGTAACGACTTCAAGCACTTAGCATGATACCTCGAACAAAGTATTGATGGTGAAAGTACATTTGTGTGGTGGAGGAGACTACATACTAGCACTGATACCCATGAGTAACCACAGAAATTGCTATTAAGACAGCAAATATAACGGGTGCTACCTTGTTAGGCGCATAGAAGTAGAGACTATCTTTGACTAAATCAAGAGAATTAATTCGGATACTTTCAATTGAGATGTCAAGTATACACATACCAGGCTTGCCGTTCTCCATACTAGTTTTTGTTGTGATAGTCAAGTTGAAGTCGTATATATCACAAAGTAAGGGATACCTCCAAGTCCCGAGGTAACACAAGAAATACACTTCGCTAGCTTCCAAAAATGATAGACAATTAAATATTTCCAACAGCGGCACAATCATTTCTCTATATATATCCCAATAATCAGCCGCATTATAATAATATGTCATTTTCTCTCCCTTTTCTCTCATCCGATTCATTCGTAAATCATGTTTTTAGTCACCTGATCCCTCTATCATTCGTCCAAATACGTTTTAGAAATACAAGGTTGCAACATTATTGGCTATCTTCCACCTGCCTAGCAATGCCTCCAAATCTGGGGAGGCGAAGTCACTAGAGCTAAATGGGCGTGATGTAGCGACGTGACTACCCAGAAATTTATGTCATAATATCATTTGACGAGATTTGCTCTGAAGAATGATGAGTTGTTTGTCCGTTCGCTAAACGAAATACGCTGTGTGTAAGACGGGAAGAATGATATCCCGAAGATCGGGAATTTATTAAATGAGAGATGAATTATAGGTCTGGGCGCTGCATTTTTCTGTTTTGGGAATATAAGTATTGGAAGGAGATATAGGAATTTATATTCATACAATTTAATCAATAGTACAGACTAGTAATGAATTATTGAACCTCTAATTTTCTTTGGAAAGTAGTACAACTTCAAGACACGGACTCAACTAGCCGTTGGGGAAAATACAAACTATGAATTTGTAGAAATTATCTTTTCTTATTAAATCGATATTATATTTGTTATATCATTATCATCGTTAACGTCCTTCATAGGTCAATGACTATGTAGAACTGCCAAATCGAGGAGTAGCAGCTTACTGTATAGCTTAAACATGTCAAGGTAGTCCCTTATTGAAACTGTAAACTAATACTAGGGGTTGAGCATGAGAAAGAGCGGGGGAGAAGGGTGGTTTCCCATATGTATACAATGTCAGATGACCCTATATCCACACATCAGATAGCATCTCTTTAATTGTTCTCTGGGGGTCCCTTCGAAAGGTGCCACGTTCTTGTGGCTATTCTAGTGATGCCGATAAACTCAATGGTCTTCTCAAAACTGATTTTTGTGTAAAGAAGGACTCTGTATGTGAGGTTTCGGACGGGAACGACTGACTTTATTGGCTTTTGTCCGAGTTGTAGGTGCAAAAACGTGTTTTAACTGCTCTAATGCGGACGTGAAGATTACTTGTCCAACACTTTCCTTTATATCTGCTACGAAAAATTAATGACCCAGAACTTCATTCGAAATCCAATCTTGAAAAATGTTCTTGCCCTTAAACATCACACGCGGTGGGAGAATTGTCCCTCCGCACAAATGCGCTCAACCATTGAAACTCATTCCTACGATCTAGACGCGCTTGATATTTCGTACGAAATACAGAATCGATTAATCAAATTGATTCTATCGTTCCGATCAGATGTTCGGAATCATCCATGTTGTTCTCCAGCGCAATTTTCTTTACTCTTGAATCACTTTCTGATACGTTTTAAACTATGCGCCAAGTTCTTTCTTTTGTTCCCCCCCTTATATATGCCTTTCGTGAAAATTGTGAAAACCGCCTCAGAGGTATTTTATCCGTACCATGCAGTGATAATACCGGTAAGGCGTTTGGCGCCTAGAATCGTAATTGAATCTGATCACAAATCAGATAGTTGCACAGTCGGACGGGTTTTTTCATGCCTATCCTATTCTGGTAGCTATCCCCTGTTTCGTGGGGCTTAATGTCAGCTCAATTGAATTTTATTTACTTTCCATCTGTTTAGAATCTCCAATGACAAATCTACATGATCACAACTCGACAAGTTGCGATTAGTCTCATGAACTGTCTGATATTATTGAAATCAGAAGTTTGTACCCAGATCCAACGTAAAGGCTGAGAATTGGCCCTGCTAGCCATATTTAACATCTTTTCCGGACGTTCTCAAGCAATCTCATATACGAGTAGAGGCCCTGTAACTGTGAGGAAATATTTGTCGTCGATCATCAACCGCCCAACCTGACAGTATGCGCGGTAACCTTGTTCCAATAAACTTTGGGTGCGAAACGCGGGGCTGAAATTCTCCAAGACTTACAAGATGGAGTTGAGAACAGGTGAGTTCCAGGACTTCAGACCCTCAAAAAGTTTATTCTGACATTCGAAACACACTTTATATGTTGTTGTTCGAATAACGATCACCCCCTGAGGGATTTGGACCTTCTGTCACGGGCTACGCAAATTATGCAGATGCTTAGAACAGGATGGTCTTCAATGGGAAGGAAAACTATCCAAGGATGGGACCGATTATATACACGTCCGGCTCTTCATTGTTCCGTTGTCGCGAACCCTTCCAGAATTTCTGGAATGATGTTTGCCGGGAGCGACCGCGTGAGCTTATACTGAAACATGGAAAAGCTCTGGAATATTGAGTTAGATTTCACTCCTTCCAGCCCGACTATAAAATCCAGAGGTCAACTCTTGAGACTTAAACAGTAACTAATATCGCTTTTTCTGTTTCTTTACTCGTCCACTTACAATATATTTGACATGAGAACTACTTTCGCTTCTGCACTCCTGGTGAGCGCCATCGCTTTTCCTTCCCTCTCTTGCGCACAAAAGTTTGTTCAATTCCCTATAGCGCGAGTCAACAATGGTGACGCTTTCGTAGCAGCAATTAATGTTGCCGTTGGCAACTCACCGCAGAATATGACCGCCATCTTAGACACAGGCAGCAGTGACTTCTGGGTGCCGGCAAGTGGGAGCAAACTCTACGCCAATCCTAAAAATCAGTGCATTGCATCCGACAAGAAGTTTTCGACAGGCTCTTTCGCTTCCAACAGCTCTACTACCTTTGTGACAGGAAAGCCCAATTTTTTTGCGATCTATACTGGCGGCGTGAATGTCACTGGGACATCTATGCAAGACTCGATCCGTCTTGGAAATGCTGAACTCAAGAACAATACCATGGGTCTGAGTACCCAGGGTTTCTTACCCAGCGTTCTCTTTCCGGTTATGGTGATTGGTTTTGCAGCCCAGGAGTTCTCTGCGACGGAGCAAAACCCAACGCCATATGAGAACCTCCCATTGACTCTGAAATCGGTAGACTTGACCAATACCGCTGCCTATGGTATTTACTTCAACTATTTCAGTATGCGTCTCCTGTCCTTTATATTTAAGATCTTGCACTGATATTTATTTCAGGATCAACTGAAGGTTCGATCATCTTTGGCGGATTGGGCTTGCTCAGGCCAAGGTTAATGCTTCGGAGTCGAATATTCAGTAGATTACTCCTTCAGGTGGCAATTCTTCTGTAGCGACACGCGCGGAGATTTACTCTGGAAGCTGGAATAACCTTAGGAGGCCTATGCGTACGGTTCCATTAGTGTGAGGATTCTACTATCATATGCTTTGAATATTTCCAAGCTAAACACCGAAATGTAGAAAGGTCTGCCGTAGTCGCATTATCATCGTAGACACAGCCGCGTCGAGAGCGACAAACTCATTTATGTCAAAATTAAGAGCATTCAAAACGCGTGCTGTTACAGGATACCCGATTTCCAGATCTCTGCTGTCGTTGGATCCAAGGATATATAAGCTCCTAATAAGTCACCAATCTCTGTGAGTTCTCTTATTAACAAAACTTTAATCCTTAAACTACAACCAGAAGTCTTACGTGATATGTGATACTATTATATACTACACAGCCGCTATAATGTTGACACTTTTGTCAAGACTAACACCAATGTCATCGCCACAGCGCTTCTCGTCAACACTCCCGTAGCGATGACATTTCCATTTCGAATATCTACGCAAAAGTTTTCTACAGAATGGATTTCCGAACAAGGTGTTAGATATTAGCTAGTGTTATGCTAGTGAAGCTACGTATAGGAATCGAGTACGAGATACTCACTTCTGACAAAACTGCATATCTATGAGATATTTCCACTCCGCAATGCTACACGCTTGCATATCGCTGTGATACTATATCGAACATAATGAATCACGGAAAAAAATAACATTCAATAGACGACTCCGAATTCGTACCTGTGCGGTACATCGATGGTATGGAGTTATCTAGATAGATCGGCGGTGCAACTAGTTTGACATGATAGTCTTCCGATACTTTCCACTCGGAAGAGTTTAATGATGCAATCATTAAAACCGTGAACGGTTCGGCGCAGATAAATTGCAGGTTATGGTTTGGATGAAGGGAACGAGAAATTCTTGACCGGATTCACCTGGCATTGATGCGCTTCTTGAACATAACTGGAGTCGTGGTATTGGGCACGTAAATATACACTTCGATACTCATGGATTGCTTTGTTTAGAAAGTGAAAAGGGGTGCGCTTGTCTTCGCTCGCGTACACAGGATGGATGAAAGGTTATAAATATACAGTTTGCATGAGCGAAAGAAATGAGAGGTATCAAATCAATTTTATTCATTCAGACTTTCATATTGCCAAGAAACGGCGGTAATAAAGTGTATAATTCGAAACATATACTTCCATTACAGTCCTCTTTTTTCTCTTCTCCCAACAACCCATCTATCCAGACTCTTCCCTCGTATCCACAAACGAACGATGCTCAGGAGCCCTGGGTACCGCACTCCCTCTAATCTCTACTTCTCCGCTCACCCCTCCACAACCTCCACCTATATCCTCCACAGCACAACTTATCTCTTCTTTACGCACCCCATAACCACGTTCGAGTTTCGATATTAATGCGTTATACCAAAATCCACTAGTGGCTGTTGACAATCTCGATTCCAGCAGGAAGAGATAATGATAATTCTGCATTCGGCTTGGCAAAAGATATTGACGCGTAGAATTCTCTACAGTGATCTAAAAAGAAGGGGAGAACCGGGAGCTGATTGGAAATGGTTATTCGTGACAACAGGGGGATTGGAAAAAGGAGGAAAGAAGGCTGGAAGATGGAAGGACTATGGGAGGGATGGGCAGATGGAGAAAAGAGGTTTGGAATGTACGATGACTATCTTGCCATTCTGGTGGCAATCATCTCAATAAGCTGCCATCCGGACGAGATTAAGTCTAGATAATGTGCATGAGCTCACTGGACCTCGGGTCTTCTGACAGATATGATCTTGCTATCTCGCAGGTACAACTAGTAGCAAAGTCCCGAAGGAAATGATGTAGCTATCCACACTTTCCAACCGTCACTTGACCATATTTAAACTACAGAGGAAAAGTATATATTCGATGTATGTCTTTGAAGGATACACCCAGACCGCTCAAGACGCATGCAATCAGTCATCACATCACTCTAAAGTTCAATGTGAATACTTGTACGCCGTATGGACGTAGAACGAGTAAGTTTTGTATGGAAAATTGCTCCGTGTGAAAACGCATACAAAGATTAGGTTGATGGTAGTGAGTTGGGATGACTTCTCCTGAAGATTTCGGCAATACGTCACAATCACGGGCCCATACAAAATATCAAAAACATCAAGTTTTAACGTATGAACGAACCTCTACTTATCCATCCTGTTCATAACACAATTAGTCCATGTACTCATTAAAATGCACACCAAATACGCATTTATTGTTGGTTCTTTTGTTCTTGGAGCCTTCACCCTGCCAATCGCTAGTTAGTACCTCGCGTACGCAACGTTTTCAATATACAACTTGGCTAGGCGTTTCACTAACAGTTGTCGGGCGACAACGCGGCAAAAGTCTCACATAACGAGCCTGCCAAGATTTCACATGACGGAGCCTTCAAAGTTGCGCACGATGAAGCCGCTAAAGTCTCATATGACGAGCCTGGCAAACATTCCGAGAATGAGACAGAAAACGTCGCCTATGACGAAGCGGTGACTTTGGTCTACGATGAGCCTGCCAAAGTAAGTTACGATCAACCCGCATAGGTCGCAGGCGACGTCTATCTTTGTAAGCCGATCGGCACCCCCGCCCAAGCAGCTATGAACTGACTCAAGAAATATCATAGAGATATTCAAGACCTGATGATCTGATTTGGTGGGTTACAGAGACCGTGATGAGCGACCCAGTTGCTGAAATGAATAAGGATCTATCAAGGGAAAAGAAAGTATAAGACATATGACATGCTGATGTGAAGATCCATACATCAGAGTAGCTTTTACAGAGAATACACTTGTAAGGTTGCCTCTTTTGTTTGAAATAGTGATTGAGATGCTGAGCGCTTTATGTATATGTCGTGGCAACAATGAAAGATTGGGTATGATTTTCAAGTTCATGATGCTTGAATTCAAGCACGTCGAGCATGGCTACTTCTGCACAAGATGAACTGGACTTCCGTAAATTCATTGCAGCCGACTTTAACACACCGCATCAACCAGGAAGGAAGACCTTATGCAGAATCGACTTTCAAATACGCGGTCGGATGCATATTTGTCCTAGCAAGCATCAGGTGATAATTGTCTACAGCATGTGAAGCCGAAGTGACGTCTGATTCTAGTTTCATGGCAAGCTTAGACGAAGTGGACAATAGACAATTCGTATTTTCTGTCCGTCAAGTTCGCGGGGTTCCGTGCTAGGATGAGATTTTTGGACATGGTTTGGTGGTCGACGATGATAACTTTGACGTTATTGTCAAGGCGGTATGAGACTAAGCCCAACGCACGATGACGCCAATGGGAAATACTCAGGGAGTTGATATTTTGGGAAAAAAGCTTTGATGTTGTTTGGTGCGGTGAATTGTTCCATTAGAAGAAGATGGTTGGTGGTCGTGAGCGAGAAGGCTGTTCATGGTAAGTGATGCGAATATTTCGTATACACCGGGTTGGAACATGCGAATGGATCAGCATTTGTCCCTGGACAAAGAGATTATCATTCGCAAAACCTTCGTAGCTGTTTTTGTCCCAATTCTTTGATACGTATGGCAATAGAAGGTTATTGGAGATCTGCAGCTACCGACGATGATAGATCGAGTCATCCATGCAGCCTGCCGCAGCGTTTGGCGATCTTCGTGAACTATAATTCGTGATATCGGTTTCCGTGTTACAGGATCATCAATACCGGCATTGTCATCCAAATGCAATATAGTACAGAATAACCGCACAATCCAAAAAACTGCAAATATTAGAAAACAACCATAGCATGTCGTGATAAGCTTGAGTTGAAACCACACCTTCCCGTTGGTCACACATTCGAAGTATCCTCATCGTGAATATCTGATGTGTCGAGCCTATCAAAGTTGATGTAAGATTAACCTTATGTAAGGAATAAGGATCCTCGAGAAGAAAGTTGGGGTGTTTCCGAAGCTTCTCTCATCCTTCTCTTGATCCTTTGATGTCTTCTTTTACGTACTCAAATCTCAGCCCCCCAAATCGCTATTCCAATCTAAAAATAATAAAAAGTAACAGTCGTTAGTGACCAATGTAGCTGAAGAGTTGAGAACAAAGCGATAACATTCGACCGTACCATACTGCGTCGACAGTGTAGATCTATTAGAGATCTCAATGCTTGAATCATACCGGGCAAACGCCGCTTATCCTTTCTTGTCCTTACTTGCCATTTGATCATACAATCATCTTCTCCTTCGGCGTATAGGAAGTTTGTACAATCACGTGATAGCATCCTGCTACCGTTGTGAATGAACAAATCCTTGGTATCTGTCCCGTCTTTATACAGGGAAATAGGGGTGCGTGTTATCCAATTAACCTACAGGTCGTCTGCAGAGGCTTAATGCGGGACATCTGGATATCACGATGATTCGAAGCTTTGATCGCCATGCGATTTTGAATGTTTGTCTTTCCAGCTTTGAACGGGCGGGCTTGATACCGGTATGAGAAGATGAAACATTACTCTATTGGAAGCTTCGTCCAACGGATCTCAAATGTAATTTCCTTTCTCTGCAAAAGTAGATTATGTATATCAAACGCATCCACGAAGGCGTGATCTATATCAGACTCGTGGTACACCGCTCTTTTCCTATATATAAAAATCCCATCGTACCAAATCACCTGGGTAGTTACACTGTGTTCCCATGTATGTATATCTGACGGGTAACCGCAGGTATATCTTAAGGGTAAGGAATCTGAGGATCCTATTTTGACAGATTTAGAAGAGTAAGAAAGGTCATGGTTGCACGCACATTTCCGTTCCCCCTCCCCCTGAAACTTCGAAGAGGCTGTTAGTGTCACGATGGCATCTTTCCTTCGTACCCTCTCTCTCTTTCCAATCTCAATCCCTGGTTAGATCTTTTCGTTTGCCGGCCCCCAATTCCCCCTCCCTTCATGCAGTTTGGTGCAGTCTGGTGCAGTTTGGTGGTACGGACAGAGCCAGTCTCGCAGCGTGCCTCCTTTTTTAAACTTTGAACCAAGGTTCGGAATGGAATCTCTCGATGAAATTAAAAATGGAGAGAGGTTCATGGGTTCCCCAGGAGATGCAGCTGCCATTGTGTGTTGGTTGGTTGGTGAGTTTGTAATTTGCAAGCATAGACCTTCCATAGAGATACTCCGTAGATACCAAGTACGTACATATCGCAGAAATTTGACTTTGACCGACCATGGATGGAAAGTTTGATCAATTCGCGGATGCTCTCTCGCTCTGTATCATGATGGCTCTTCCACATTTATCGCTTTCTTTTTTTTCTTCTTCCTCTTTCCTTTTTGTGGATGTCGAGACTGGAAGTAGCTTGGGTCAGATGGATTTGGGTTCTCTTGTTTCTCTTGTTTCCCTTGTCATGAAGATCATAGATCCATATGGCCAACCAGCACGGGCCCACATTGATACACAGCAGATTTCTTTCCTGCAATTATGACTGCCCTCTGCACTGTTCAACTGCACTGTTCATTTTCGCCCATGAACCATGAATGAAAACGGAAATGAGTGTGTAAAGTCATAAACTTGTAAATGTAAATCATATCCTTAATGAAAATCAAATCAAATTTCTCTTCTGTGAATTTGAATGAATTTTTCTGAAGAGGGAAACAATCAGACTTCACTCTTCGTTTTCAGTTTTCCGTCTTCACTCTCAATTTTCCGTCTTCAGTCCTCAGTCCTCAGTCCTCAGTCCTCACTCTTCACTCATCATCCGATTCTCTAACCCCTTCCCTTCCCTTCCCTTCCCCTTCATCCATTTGCGGGAAAAGCACATCTTCTTTTGGACGTACCAATCTTCTCTTTACCCGTTACGACCCTTGAAGAAAACATTACCAGCAGCTCTTTTGGGATTTAAAATCTTCAATCCCAGTGGTCGCCTTTCCATCGGAGTCGGAAATCCTAGAAATTCTTGAGCTACCTGGGTGTATCTTTCTCCATAGGGGTAATCTAATCATTTATTTACCAGGTACCGCTACCTAAATAGATATGGATATCAAAAGCAAACAGTGACAAAGACCCAATAAAGTATATGCCCCATATCACGAATTTACTACTGCACGACCCGTTATTACTCAATAGCTGCTTAGAGTCTTGGAGTATCGTATCAACATTGTCCTGCATCTGCATCTGCTGCTGCTGCTTCTACTTCTCCGCTGTCACGACCGAATCCCGCTTTTGTGTACAGTACCTTACGTACTTCACAATCTGCCAATTCAATATTTACTTGTCCGACGACAAACAAACAAACGCACAAACAGACGGATAGGAACTCATCTTGCCTCAAGTGTACCTTACATCACCTCACCACACCTCATTCAATCCTCACCAGCACATGCCAATTTCTAGTCAGTCCCTACCGATTCAATCCCGAGAAAGTAAATTGTCCTGGTAGCACGCAAACAAACTTTCCCCAACATTTCGGCTCGTTTCGAAAAGAGTTTCTGTTGCATCAACCTCTTCCGACGTTTGCTGCCTCAAACATATCTTAGCACCCATTTAAAATATATTACCTGCAGATAAATTATCGCAAGCGGCAGATAGACGGGAAGTATATTCGAGAAACTCTAGAATACGAATCGATTGAGTGTTTCGCGTCGGCAGAGGATTGATACGCAATTGAAAATCGAACTTGACGTATTGATCCGGGTTACAGTCGCAGTGAAGGTGGATCAAACCAGGAACCAATTCGAAGAACCATCATATAATCCTTCCAAAATTCGAACCAATTTATAATACTTCATGACGGCTCAGCTGCAATCGTGGCTGCCATGCATACCGTCGAGAAGATGCCGAATGCACCGACGAAGCGACTCGGCGTTGACCTGAATGTTGATACTGGCTATAAGGCAAAAAGAAGAGGAAGCATATCTCCGCCCCAGACACCGGAGGCGCAGGCTTCCAGTCCAGAAAATATTACTTCATCGAATCGGGCGCTTAATCTGCGGAATGGAACAGGGCATACATTTTTAGATGACATTACACCAGTTGATCCTTCCAACAAAGAAAATGATCCTGAGAATGTACGAAATAACCGGGATTCTCACGACCTCTCCCTTTCTCCCCGACAAGTTACCCGCGACTCATTGGTAGATCATATGCTACTTTCCTTAGACCAATTCTCTTTCGGGCAGGAAGATTTTAGCTTGCGCAATCCTACACTTGACGAAGATCGATTATATTCCTCCTTCGGTGATGAAGAACCATATCAATCGCCTCAAAACTTCGCAGCTAGAGGTGGCAGAGGGCACGCTTACTCCTTCAGTTCCGACTACGATCCAGCAGACGATTCAAGTCATTATTCGGACAAGATTTCTCGCAGCCGAAGAAGCAATAGCAGTTCCAACTTCCAAACTGGGTTGACCAGAATCAATAGTATACGCAACGATACAGGTGGATCACTTAGAGGACCTCCGATTCCACATCGAGGAGGGAGAAAGAACACCGGTAGTAGTGTGGGAGTAGTGCGAATAGTTTCGACCTTGGATACGCACAAGTTACAAGCAGCCAGAGGTGGGCGCATGGTTTAGCAGGAAGGTCTTCGAGCTTTGATTACGGAAGCGGTCACCAGGCAACTTCACAATTAAATGCAGGAAGATATATCAATACAAATGTACCTTCGACTCCTACATACGACTACGACGCCGCTCCCACACCCACAGTACCTGGTGGTCCACGACGCCCTCGACCTACATCCCCAATTTTGGTCTCAAGACCCGACCCTAGCCTTATCGATCCCCCAATGGAGAAATTAGAAAGAAAAAGGAGCGCAAAATCCTCGAAGAGCGCATACAAGTCGAAGGGGTTCACGAATACTGCCAGGCATGACTATGGTCTAAATCTAAATGATCGCAGTAAAGAATTGCCACCCATGCCAGCATTCATCAAAGAGCAATCTCCGCCAAATTGTGGGTCATATTCAAAAACAAAAGATATTCTCGGGTCGCCGCAAGCTTCCACTCAAATGCCCAAGGAACGACCCGGATTCTTCAGAAGGGTTTTCGGTTCTTCCAGGAACAACAATGTTGCGGTACCCGACCCACCACCGTCGCACGGTTCCACTACCTCTACTGAAACGGCGGATCATCCAGGTAGCAAAACTCACATTGCTAACCAGATGAAACCTAACAACGTAGCACCGCCTCGAGAAAATCCGCAAGCCCCAAAAGAACAACCGCATGTCATTACCAAAAAACCATCATCATTCTTCCGAAGGCGTAAGAAGTCGGTATCTGAGCCCGAACCCATCCCCGTTCCACCAATGCCGTTGCCACCCATGAAACTCGAGCCGCACAAATTGCGACCAGACATTCCAGATTGGCAACCTGAGGCTAGCCCCGTCAGTAGTCTTCGCCAAGTCATGAATCCATACCTTCATAGCCCAGGGAGACCTCCTATCGAAGCTCATGCACCAACGGCTAGTCTCGATCGGCAAGTTAATGATATTTCCGATGATGTTGAAAATAGACGCCATGTAAGAGGCTTTTCTCCAGACTACGATCCAGACCCAAATGCTACCATCAGACAAATACCTCCTTCGAAACCAGCGTCGTCGCATGCCGGAGATAGTCGCAAGCCATCTTATTCGTCCATCAAACAACCACGTAGATCGGCAAGTACCAACTTGGCAATACCTGGTGGATTCGACGGGCAGGCCAGAGAAGAACGTGAACCATTTTTCCAAGGTTCTACCGAGAACGATCGTGACGCGAAGTTTAAGTTAGAGATCACGAAAGATGTACCTGGTAATACACCGTTACCCAGTACGACATCTCCTGGTCACTCTCCTTCGGTGGCGAGAGATATCGCTCTTGTTGCGGAATATGAAAGAATACATTCCAAACGTTCTCCAACGTCCTCCAAAGTTCTACCAAAATCAGAGCCTAAGGTAGCAGAGCCTTCTTTGAATTCACCTCTAAGCACGGTGAGTTCTAATGACAGTCAGGAACTGCCAGCAGGTCCTGCCAAAGAAGAAGATTGGGTCGTTCTTTCTCCTTCTAAATCCCACTTTCCAGAGAAAGATCGTGTTTGGTTGGAACCTGGATCGTCTGAAGATGATCTGCCAGGTACAAATACCTTGAAACCTAATTTCGCAAACTCGATTGCAGCTACAGGATCTACAGATACCATATACAAATCGGCTGTCAGTCTACCACTGTTGCAAGTTGAGGGACAAGAAGAAGGTCCCCCTTCCAGTCCACCTACTATGTCCGATAGAGAAGATATTGAGCCATTTGATGACTCTGAATCCGAAGGAGTTGACGACGCACAACCTACGGAAGAAGACCTGATTAGAGCACAGAAAATTTACGATGGCAATGAGGATTTCATTCAAAAAGAAAAGGCGACCGCATGGATGGGAGATGAGGGAGCTGTTCGAGCAAGGACGCTAACAGCTTATATGAGCCTTTATGACTTTACGAATCTTAATATTCTTGCCTCGATGCGTGTAATGTGTGGCAGATTAGTGCTCAAGGGTGAAAGTCAACAAGTTGACAGAATCTTGGACGCGTTCTCAAAGAGATGGTGTCAGAGCAATCCCTATCATGGGTTTAAAGCTACTGGTAGGTTTACGAGTTTATCTCAAGTATATCAAGCTAATTTTGTTAGATGTCGTACATACAATTTGTTACTCAGTTCTTTTGCTAAACACGGACTTGCATCTTGCCGACATTGAACAAAAGATGACTCGTAGTCAATTCATCAAGAATACAATGCCTACGATCCGTCGAAGTGTGGTAGAGTCTGCGCATGAATTTGAGCCTAGTAGGCCTACAGTGCTCCCTGGAAAAAGCTCTGCTTTTGATGATCCTCACGTCAACGACGAGAACTCTGACGCTGTATCAATTGAAGCTTTTGAAAAACCTTCTTGGAGGTCTTCATTCAAGCCTGCGCCACGTCCAGATCCTGATAATCCAAGTGCCCCCACACCTTTAGATTATGATACTCCCATGGATGATTGTGGCCCCTTGGTCAAGGCACCTTTCCGAGGAACGCTACGTACATGGGAAGTACAGGTTGAGATTGTTCTTAAGGATTTTTACAATTCTATCCGGAATGATCGGCTTCCATTATTCGGCGCCGTTGATAGGTCACAAATGCCGGCTTCATCATCTAGCACTCTCTCAGTATTCACCAATGGCATGTTGCGCCGTTCCCCTAGTGTTCTGAGTAAAGCTCCCTCAGAATCACCTAGTTATATTCGTGGAAGAACAGCAGAGACCGTACGCACAAATGGGAAGTGGAGCAACAAGACCAGATCGAGACCTCGTTTATATCCTAACTCCGGAATGGGATCTAGTCGAACTAGTCTTGATGATCAATCATCTATGTGGAGTCCTTCGGTATCGTCTAGTACTTGGAGCAAGTATTCTCTTGGCAAACATACCTCGATGTCCGTGGACTCTCTTGGTTCGGCATTCCAAGGCGATTATCAACAATCTATTGGATTCGCCAATGCTCTCAGCCAAGCAATTATCCGTGAAGAGACGGTCCATAGCTCAGGAAGTAGGGGCAGTGATCATGAAGAACTTCGTGTTGCCCCTTTACTTGATGATGAATCTTTAGAATTGGCTGGTGCACCGTGGGCAAAGGAAGGTATGGTCAAGCACAAGCATCATTTGGAAGCTCTCGACAAGAAAGCCAAGGATCGTAACTGGATTGAAACATTCGCTGTTATCGAAAAAGGCTACATGAGCTTGTTCTCGTTCTCTACTAAGAACGTCCGCAAGACTAAGGGTAAAACTAGTGGCGGAGTTGTTGGTGGTGGAAATTGGCAAGAGAATGCCGAAAATCTTGGTTCATTCCTCCTCCGCCAGACTATCGCTAGTGCCCTTCCTTCACCAGGCTACTCCAAAGCTCGCCCTCACGTCTGGGCGCTTTCCTTGCCCACCGGAGCAGTACATCTCTTTCAAGTAGGCACAGCAGATATCGTCAAAGAATTTGTCACAACAGCCAATTACTGGAGTGCTCGGTTATCAAACCATCCTCTTGTAGGTGGTATCAGTAATATCGAATACGGCTGGTCTGATGAGATTGTAAATAACGCCCTAGTCACTGCGATTAACGAACAGAATACCAGACCATCAACTTCTGGCGCTAGGCCCAGCATGCAGAGCTCTCTACGATCAAGCTTGGATCACGGCTATGTAGGAGGGGTTAGATCAAGATTGCCAGGTGATAGAATTGCTATAAATGATTGGAGTCCTCCAATACAGAGCATGAGAGCTAGTAACTTGATGGAGCCGGATCAGTTGAAAACACTGACTGCTTATGTGCAGAGTATTGAAGAAGAATTGCAGAAACACAATATGTTGAGGAATCCAATGCTTCTAGCTGTAAGTATTACAAATCTTCCTCCTGCTTCATTTTCACTGACCTAGTACAGTATTCACCGCGTCATCCTAACGCACAAAAAGCAATGGCGAATTGGGAAAAGAAATCCTCATATTTGCTCCGCGAAATCGTAAAGTTCACAACATACATTGATAGTTTACATGCAGCCGAAATCGGCAGACAAAGAATCTATCATGAAAGAGCGGCACATCAAGCCGTCGCCGAGGAAAAAAATGAAGATGAGGAAGCTGAAGTTGATACCACAATCACTGGATGAAACTGAAGCAACTTTCATTGAATGAAAAAAAATTAAGATACATTACGACGATTATGTATATACGATACGCATGACGCTGCCCTCAAAACTTCCGATAATTTGTTCTCTTGATGGATGAGAGATGGGAGGAATGATTATATGGCGAGTATGGCAGGAAAAGGAAAGAATGGCGTTTATCAAGTTTTTGAAGGGGATGGAAGTAGGACGTTTTAATCTGTAGGCACTTTGATGAGTAGTGCGCTTCTTTTTACTACTTTGCTATTTAATTGGCATTGATTCCGCTTCTAGTTGGCCCAAATTGCTTATTGAATTCGATTGGGCGCGTTGTTGGTTAGTTGGTTGGCTGGTTGTGGTTATACCCCGTTCGCTATTGTTGAGTTTGCTTTTGCGCTTTCTTGCTTACTGGCTTGGATTTTGTTTGTTTGCTTGGTTGTTTGGAATGGGAGAGGAGAAGAAAAGAGGTGGATCGGAGAGAAAGGGTGAAAAGAGGAGAGTAAATAGGGGTTCGCTTGTGATGGTCACTTGAGAAATCAGGGAACAGATTTGAAATGTCTTTACTTGGATTAGCTGAAATTCGCTTCATCGGGGGAATTAAGAAAGAGCAGAGTCGCTGTGTATATTTATGTGTATTACTAATTTGGCTTTGCTTGTCTATACTTGCTGGTGCTTTGTGGATGTTACGAGTGGTAGAGAGATTACGGGTGAGGACGAGGAGTACGATGCACAAGGTGTAGTTCAGTCAGAGGAAGAGAAAGTTCATGAGGATAATATATTTGTTATATTGAAATTTATTTTATGCTTATCTGTGTATATATGCATGTATGTTTGTATGTATGAATTTATAATTCTTGTAACTTGAGAAGATTTATGCAGGAAAGAATATAAGTGAGTGAATTCTTAGCTTATTCGCTAATCTCATTAGTTTCTATCTTAGTCATAACGGAAGAGGAACTACAAATCGAAGCACAACGCCTTTGACCACACAAGCTAAGTATTATCCTATCAATTCAATCAAAAAAGTTTAGAAAGAAGAATGCCCGGCAATCGAAACAACCCGAACACCAGAGACAGGCTGCTTACCTACCTACTTCAATCCACTGACCTTCCTGATAGTGCACCTACGCTTGGATATCGCGCTATTTTATATGACTTAACTAGACTCGATGCCTGGAGACCTCGGATCCTGATGCGGCGAAGGAGACCTGGTCAACTCTAGTATCGAACAATTTTCGGAGCGATAACAACATCGGCCACTTGAGGTGGAAAAGGGAAGCAGATTACCGGAATAAATCCAGGCTTGAAGACCCCATAACTTCGAGTCAATGAAGGAAATGTGTCCATAAGAAACTACCAAGAGTACCGCAAATACTCTGCCCCTATAGAGATGCTCGATCCAACAACGGCTTGAGTATTCCACGCAAAGAAGATTCTCCGATTTCATTTTTTTGTCGATCTGGACTACGCGACTCCTAGGTTCCGCATTGCAGCTATTCATTCTCAGCTTCTCCGTAGAAAACAAGCAGCTTTTTGTGAAATTTCCGTTCATTGGATCCAAATGCTGGTATCTTTAAGTATCTTTGAATAGACCTGACGAGGAACAGCGGACTTGATGCATCAGAAGTGTAGAAGCTATAGTACGAAATCATTGCTGTAGTAGTAACGCTCATATATACCTGCAAGCGCTTTGCCAGATGGAAAAGAACCAAGTCAAAGACAAACTCTAGATATGCCTTCCTGAGAATTGGCTCCAACGCAGAAAAATAGTTTGTGGAAAAAAATGATTAGATGTCAGTATGGGCGGAAGAGACGCAATGGTCTGGAGATGATCTCTTAGCGACAAATGTATCAGTAATTTTCGTTCATCCAAATTTAGCAACTCCGCCAAAATTAGTTTTTTCTTTGGAAATAAGCGGCTAACAGTGATTGTTTTCATTTTTTTCTGATGATTCCCAACGGTGAATCGATTCAATCCTCCCACCATGCTTGGAGAAATCTGATTGAATCATCATCACACTCATCAAGTCCGTCAAAGATGAGAACTGTACTTTCTGGAATGTTTTTGACCATAAACATAGATATACGCCACGGGTTTTCCCAGTAGGCTTTACTGGCAAGATTTTGATTTTGACGACGAAAGCTATCAAATCACCTAGAATATCCTGGTAAAAGTTGTTGTTTGCTTTCCAAAAGCCGACAGATCAGACTCCAAAGCACACTTAATACCGAGTCGCGTTTAGTTTTACTACTGTCGCGATAGTATTCCAACACCAGATAATTCGATTCTCGAAGGTCTACACGCAAAACCCAGCGACTCGCCGGATATGTTAAATAATGTTTTCCCTTTTCCGGAACCATCGAACACCCAGAGAAATTTATTGGAATTAGGTATCCAGCTCTGCTCAAAGATTTGGACTTCCTTGTCTTTTTGGTTCAATTTGCAGGTACTGGGGACCAGGTGACCATTACGATTGCAAATTCCTTCTCTGTCTTCTTGGGCGTGCGTTAGAAAAAAAAGCACTGTAACATTCATTATGATCGTCCTTTTGTTTTTGGGACACTACCCGAATTCAATGAAGTCAGTCTCTAATCCAGATAATTATAGTAGGTCTGAAAAGTCACTTGAGATGCTTGCAATCCTAAGATAGTACGGTGTTTACACTGTTCACGATTTGGCCATTAATCTGAGAATTCGCACCTCCTGCTAGTGCATTTCCACGCGACAATTGAATGGGTTTCAACAGCTATTGAATATTTGGACTTCGCAACCAGAAAACTCGTGAATTATACTCTCCGTTACCAGTACTATCAGCAAAGGTTTGAATACCTCAAAGATTCGAGGAAACTCTTATATTAGATAACAAACCGATTCAGATTCCCCACATCGCTTAAGTACTCCATACAGTCGAATCCACCTAGACGCCTGCCTCAACAGTGTGAACTCGCACATACATGAACCAATAAATACTCAGACGGGGAATGGATCTGCCACACCACTTACCCCTGCGAATATAAAGGTGTGTTGATATCCAATGAATTCGGATCGACCAAATGAGGTTGCACTCGATGTAAGCATTCTCCACCAAAAAAATACAGCGCATACCACAGAAAGATCAAGCATGCGTTTACACAGCCGCGAAGCCAGGGTGCTCAATAGTCTAAAAGATTTCTGGACAATCCGTTCAAGAACGAGTGATGATTAAATAGTATTGATAGTTGAGATCAGATACACTCGAAGTGTTGCATTTGTCCTCAAAAAATAACTTACTAAAATTTTGTTGTGGTATCCAAAACACATCTCTTAAAAAAACTCGAGATCCGGATTAGATTCTCAAAAGTCCCAGAATATCACAGCAATCCTGAGTACCCAGTTCTCTCCATTCTTGAGCTAAACTTGCGACCACGAACTTCACGCGATCATATACTGCAAAGTCTCATAGTATGGTAACTACCCCCTCATCTCCTCACAAAATAAACCTCCTAACCGAGAATCAGTCCGGACTAGAAATCCTCGGAGCAATATCCGCCGTATCCGGCCTCCTAGAATCTAGCATCAATCTTCTCAGCCGCCTGCGCAAAACCTACAACGACCAGAAAGACTCCTCAAAAGTACTTGGAGCCCACGTCGTCGAAATCCAAGGAATCCTGACTATCCTAGAACTAGTCAAGCATGAAGCCAATTTGCGCACTGTGGTTATTCTCTCCGAGATCGAAAATATTCGCAACATAGCGGTAGAGCTGATAAGTAACCTAGAATTAATGGTATCGGGGGAGAAAAGCCAAGCACGGCGTTTTGCACATCAATTTCTACAGGGTGCCAAAGAGCAGGAGACGCTTGCGAAGCTGATGGAGCGGCTTGAGCACGCAAAGACGAATTTGGCTCTCGGTCTACATGTTGCCCACGTGAGAGTGACGCAGTACGTGAGTGATAAAGTTGCGATCAATATGGATATTTTGAATCGGGTGGATGGGCTACTTCGGAATGTACTTGGAGATGACGGAGGTCTTAAGATTGCCGATGTGGTTAAGAGCCATCGCCCCGAAAGTATGCTGCTATTATCTCCCTTCTCTCTTTCGAGAATCCGCTAACAGATACAAGGAGATGGATTAGTGCATATTAATAGTGAAGAACTTCCACTAAGAACAGATGGAGATGGAAAAGACGCGAGAAAGGTTTTTAGTCGGGTTGTCTTGAAAAATGTGACCAGAGACCAAGCTCTACAGATCAATGGATCTATTGGAGAAAAGGGGTGGCGAGAGGTATCTCAGTTGGAAATTCGAGACAATGAAGCTACTGGAAATGGCCTCCAAGTCAACCATGCGATTTCTGAAGATATGTTTTTTCAGTTGCTGGCGCATAGAGACCGAAATAAGTCGGATGGTACACTGGGACCAATTCTACAAGTTAGCGCCAGGCGCTGAAGATCTTACTCAATAAGCTCACCATCCAAGCAGGCGATACCTGAGTTGATGTCTGAAATAAACTTGACCTTCACTGATCTCTATTCATTACTTGCCGCAATGAAAATAGCGTTCAAGACAAGAGAACGCTGCGTAAGATTCTCACTGTTGACTGGATTGAGCTCTTTTGTGTCTACGAAACATGTTAACAATCGTCTGACATGATACATTTGCGGGGATATTGTCATTTTGGTTGTGTATCCGATTCCCTGGGTGGAAATGAAGGACCATTAGCTTTCGGATAAGATTGAAAGGGCCTAAACCTATATTTATCTGAAAATGGAGATTTATGAATCTCGTAAATCAACTGAATCTAACAAATGAATTTCGATGGTCTTTCGATGCATTACCTTTGGCTATTGATCAATAGTCTACTCTACGAGACTCATAAGTCAATCAATCGTGGATACATTCAGCACTTACGACCATCAAACATTCGATACCATGACATGATGTATATGATCAATGAGACAGCAATTATAGGCCATATATAAGAAAAAATGGCAAGCCATATTAATTTTAATGGGTATCAACAATAGTAAAATCATTTTTATAATAAAAATCCAGCGCGCAACGCGAACGCAAATGCAACGATGGCATATTCCCAATGCCCCCTTTGAACAACGCCACGCCAGTCGGACTTCTTCGCAACTTTTAGAAACCATCCGAGGTGAAGTTCAACGCCGCTGATGCCACTGTAAATGCAACTGTCTATACACAGAACGGATTGAGAAAAAGGATGATCGTGTCGTGTCGTCTCTTCGTAAGTCGTAAGTCCATATCCACCACACCATCCACCCCTGACTATCATCAACAGTAGAGTGCTCTAAAAGTGCCAGGGCGCGAGTTTCACGGTGCGACCCGTGTCTTGGCAGCTGCTGACCCACGCTTGAATCAGCCCCCATGCTCATACTATATCAAAGGCCCTACGTCAACACCACAATATTCTCCTCATCCCCACCAAGTAATTGACCATGCCCCCACTGCTCTCCCCTCTCCAATGGCGTTCCCCACGTAAACTTTCCACCCCATCCCCATCTCTCCTTTTCCGTCACCAAGGTGTTCAGATCCTCTCCTTCTCCAAGCTCACAGAACAACCACTTCCAGACAGTCAAGTCTTCCTCTTGGGGTGTTGATTCACCGGTTATTCTTTTCACTAAATAATTGGGTCAGTTATTTTTACTCCTGATATCAATATCGCTTCATGTGAAAGGGGATATGAAGGAGCTACTTACATTGGATCATGTCCCCATCTTGGTTCTGTACAGCCAAAGCTTGGATCCATAGTCCATTGAATCTATGGTCCAGCAGATGCTGGAGATGGAGTGGCACACTGCCAGGTGCATATCGCTTCTTAAACTCCGTGAAAATATGAACCCTCGAAGGGCGTATTGCCGGTCGTCCGCCGACCCTTACTAGGTATCATTAGCATGAAACTTCCACTTTCCAACAAAGATTTTGGGAGCTCACGGGCATCTGCGCGGTATATTGGTGCGGCGAGGACAGTGCCTCCCGCTTCCAGATATTGTTTCAAGAGTTCCTGTGAAGGTCAGCATGTGCTCATCAGAGATTTTAATGCTTCTATTCAACGTTAAAAGGATTTATGAGAGCAAACGGCCAAATTTGATGTTTCCACTTTCTAAATCGATTGAAATATGGGAAAATCTCAATGGGAAGCGAAGTTTGGAAGAATAACTAACCATGAACTCCGTTTGGAGCTCGACAGTTCTCGTCTGCCAGCTACGGGCCTCCTGGGCCGGAACCCGTGTTTGCTCCATGAGCCGGTCGGTGCTTTCGTGGATTAACGAATCCATCTCGGCGCGATTTTCCGCCAGGTAACTTTGGGTTGCCTGGCGGAAACCGGCCGTCTCCTCGGTAATGGCCTCCATTTTCTTCTTCTGCATATGTTAGTATTGATATGAGAGACCCAGAAGAGAAGAGAATGAAAAATGACATCTCGTGAAAGGCGAGGTATCCGGGGTTCACTGGGGGGGATGTACTTACTTTTTAAAGAGGCTTTATGATCTTCGGAGATCTATAGTATCTGTTAGCATGATGTCTTCAACTTCAGAATCATAGAAAAGAAGTGGATGTCTTAAGAAACAAATAGAAAACTGACAACTCCGCCTTTCTAACGATGAGATATCGGGAAAATGGACAAGACTCTCCGGTTGGCAATTGCAAGAGGTCTGAAATAAAGAGCTATGAGAAGTATATGGAGCAATGAAGCTTGTCGTACGATCAATATCTTGTTTACTCCTTACTGGGGAGATAAAGTTCTAGGAATCGGATAAACGACAACCCTTGCTAACAGAAAAGGGTTCTCCGGTGAATCTTTGCAACAAAGATAAGCCTCGAATGCAAATTATATCTATTGCAATATATAAACCATATATGAATGTAGAGGAGAGAGATGGCCAATGTGGTTAAAGGTTGGGGGTCAATAAGTTGAAGACGTAGAGAAGATTGGTAGAATGACGTAATTTGAAGATCGTACGAGACAGCCGTCTCAGAGAAAATCTCTGGTGTGGATACAAAATAGGAAGGATCGAAGCTCAAAGAGCTAAACGAGCTTGCAGAGATTCGGTAATGCCAGGGGCTTCGTGGGGGGGATTTGAATTGAAGAAAGACGTCGCAGCTGTTGCTGATATAGCTGATATTATACAACTGTAGTTGAAGCTCTTCTAAAGGAGGTGCGATATGATAGAGGTGGGTCGCTGGGAGGAATTTTTGAGGTAGTTGATGGAAAAAAGAGCGAAGCCTTGATCAAAGAGAAGCTTGGCGTCGTCCCAACAATAGACCATGAGAAAAAATCTGTGGAGACACGTTGAAATTGACCCAATTAGAAATTTTTGAGAGCTGTGTAAATCTCTGGTGTTTAATGCACAAACAGAAGAGCTTATAATCCAAACGAAATATCGTAGTCTTGAATGGTATTGTCTTGAGGTTGGAACAGCGAGAGAGGAAGGTGTGGATAGGAATGCCGTTGTTTATAGTATTATCGAATTGCTCGCCGTGGATGAAAGGATAGATCTTTCGCGAAATCAAAAGGTAATAGAAATTTTTTCAATGGGTCCGACTTCGAAGTTGATGGTGATCTTATTGTGCAGTATATCAAGCTAGGACTGCAACTTTCTCGTGCGAGTAAGATAAATTGACGGCAAGCTTCTTATATTCTATGTGGCGGTGGGTAATTTTGACTGAATTTGGTGCGCGATTGAAGGAGTGAGTGGCAGAAATTCGCAGCGATAGCAAGAGAAATGGACGAGAAGCTGTGCGAAAACGGGAAGGTTCAATTCCAGATGCTCGTTTCTCTGAAGAATAGGGATTGAGCCGGTAGCGTTGGGTAGCGGCGTTAAACAATGACGAAGAGTGGTATCGCGTGGGAGAAGATATATTGATGTAAAGCCTCTTGAGCAGAAGTAAAGCAGAAGGTATCGCTTTATGAGCGAGAGGGGAGGGAGAGGTTTGGATTTATGGAGCACCAATCAGGATCTTGCACACAGGACTTTGAAAAGAAAGCGCGTGCTATCTGTTGTGGCAAAGCTCAATGGTGAATGTTCGCATCGTGGCGGTGAGTTGGGGCAAATGCCGATGAAATTTAACATCTCTGCAAAGAGGCGAATGACAATTCCAATGAAGAGACTGCTTCAGTGAATAGAAGTCACATGGTTTTGTCAAGGTACTCCATTGGTTATGATGCTATCCTTCAATGGTATGATAGCATAGAAAATAACTTTCTCTGTGCATGTAACTGCACGCTTTGTTCGAGGTGACTGACCCAAAGCAGAGAGTAAGTTGCACATAGCTCAATGCGTGGTGTTGTGACAAAGACCAGGCCCTTTTCTGTACATCTGTATATGATCTTTGCTTGAGATGACTTATCACAAGCCTAGACATCATTTCGCATAGTCAGACGCTGGCCAAGACCATATAAGTTGATGTAATCTTCATGCGCTAGCATAGAATCCAACATCCAACTGTGCCGACACAATATAAATCTACAAGAGTAAAATAACAGCAGGTGGACTCGTGCATATATCACAATTGAGTGTTCTAACAATAGAGATTTCCTTTTTACTTACTTGAACTACTATATAACGAGGTCAGCTTGAGTTTAAGGCGAAAGGTAGATGCGGGAGTAATACTTACAGCTGGCGCGGAGCCATCTCAACATTCAAACGCATACAATGGTACTGTAATTGATATTAGATTAACTTATGAAGCTGAATGTATATCATAGAAGTATTCTTACTATATTCTATAAGTGTTAGTACTTTGTACTGTTGATTTGCTTTGAAGTGTTTGAATTTTGAATACAGCGATCTTGCCGATCAAGGACTTTCAGATCCCACCATCAGCAATTAGAATGAGCTCAGCGCTTCAACTGAAGCAGAAAATAGCAAGGAATAAGAAGAAGAATATAATAAGAAGTAACTTACATACCTTGGATGTGATAGATTAGCGTCGAGGTGCTGGTGTTGATTGTGGTACATGGATGGTGTGGAGAAAAAGAGAAGTGGATTTTGAAATTGAGCAGGAAAGAGAATTTTGAATTAAAGACAATGGGAAAGTTTGTGTGAGCTTAATGGCACTAAGAAGTAAACTTAACTTAAAAGGGTGTTAGGTACCTAGATACCCTCGAGGGTCTGTCTCGGCGTTGTTGCCATGACCTGGGAACTGTGATGTGCTGATATGTGAAAGCTGGCTTCTGTAGACTGTGTAATATGCTCTCTTCCTGGGTTTTTGATCCTAAAGTATCTATCAGTGGTATTATCAGCTTAATTAGATTTCCTACAATAATATACTTTGGGTCGACATGCCTTTCAACCTCCTTCATTGTCTTGTTCTAACAGGTTTCTACCCTGACATACTAGTTTGGCCTCACTAAGCAGCAGCAAACCATTCTGAGAAGAAGGCTCCAGACTTTCCATTTACCAATATTCTTTTCCTTTGTTTTGCTAACTTCTTGTTATAATACAACCTAGATTTTGGTTCCGCTACCACCTCCATGTTAATCTCAATATCCGTGAACAGCATTCAAACCAAAGGAATAGTATACAACCATGTTGAAGAGGTAATAACCTCCGTCGAAGTCCGTCTTCTGCTTCCTGTCGTTGCTAGAGCTCAGATACGGTGACTGCTGGGCAGCAGAATGTTATTTCCTATACCTGACCAGCTTCTAAGTATTCCGTGTTACTGGCGTCTTAATCTCTACCAACCTCATTGATCTAAACTTTGTAGAACTTGTATTTAAAGAAGTGCGACAAGTATAGCGGGGTCTGAGAAGCAATTGGAATCTTCGTCTTCCTTCGAATCGTCTCTGATAGCCACGGAAGGTCAGTTATTTACTTGATTATAGAAGCGCTTTCTCTACACTATCTGCTTTGTGTTACTATATACCACGAGAACACAGATCCAACCTCGAGAGTTATCAATGTAGGCTTGCAGAACAGGTCCGAATGAGGGAAGCACCAGAAACTTACAATCAAACGGCCCGCTGTCCTCTTTGCGACAGACCATCGCCGGTGATCGAAACATACTACCCGCTTCGAGATGAAAGCTTTTCCTCCGATTCTGCCAGCTTTTCTTCCCTTTAAATCGCAGTTGGAGATTGTTGTAACCCGATGGTCATCTACATATGAAAAGGTAATAAAGCAGGGGAAGGCATATACTTACCTCTTTCAAGCTCAGTAGAAGTATTCGGCCCTTCCTCGTCCCCGTGAAAGTCACCTCAAACCTCCGAATATCAATTGTTGATCAGCCCTTGATACATTCGAATCTTTAATACATGATCAAGGGAACCTTCAACAACAGGTAAAGGACCTCGCCATCAACGAAATTCAGATACAAGGAGCGATAGGTCGGGAGGAAGGAGATACTTACTATGTAAAACAGAGTCTGTAAGAGGATCTGCTTGTTCCTTGCGTTTCTTATGATTGGTGAAGACCAAAGGATACTGACTGCTTACCAACTATAGAATCTCCTAGACAGCTGACCATCATCTCTCATCCACACGCGAAACCCCTCGTTGTTAGTCCTCGCGGTCAATTTACACAAGAAACGATAGTAGTTAGGGGGGCAGATAGGACTTACAACTAACAATAAGGTATGTGAAAGGTTCGGGCTCTTCTCTTTGCTTCCGAGTATTGCTGACGATTGAAGAATACTAACTTCCTACCCAGTAAAGGTCCTCTCTCCCTCTTCCAAAATTAGTCGACATCCATGACTCGAGGGTCGGCGCCAGAGCTCATCGTCAGTTATCGAAATAATTTGGACATCGATAAACAATATTATATGGGGCGAAAAGGAGATACAAATCATGATGAAGCCCTCGAGAAGGTGGGGTTTCGGCTCCATCCTTTCTATTTTAAAAGCCGGAGGACCAGGTAACACAAATTTCTTGCTCACGAAAGGCTACATTGTCTGTCTTTTCCAGCAGTCGACTACTAGACTTGACTCGTAAGTAAAAGTGTCTGGTACCAGTGCTTGCGGCAGTTTGGATACGAGAAACGATATTAGATGAAGTATAAAACAGTATTTACAACTCACAACAAGCTCCGCGGAGGGATAGACTCCCCTATTAGTTTCCAGCATCTAAGAAACGTGGAAGACTGGACATTACAACCTTCATACTCACACAACGCTTTTGTTTCTCTAGTTTGCAGCAGTAGGTCAACATGATTACCTCACGAATATATGGGCTCATTGCCAGTCTCTTCATCAAGTCGAACCGCGAAGTAATATAAGATTAGGTGGCGAGCATAAGCTTATAGATCACGATAAGATCCGCAGAAGGGATGTCTTGCATCCTAGCGTTGTTGCCAAGCCGGAAGTACTCTTGATATGAATTCGACACGCAAAGTGGTATTAGATTGGGTGACTGACA